TTGTTATTTTACAGTTGGATTAATTTCGGCCTAAGTGCCAGCCGTCATCAACAACAGCATTGCCATCAATATGTATCTTTCCTAGAAAAAGATTTGAGAAAATAAAAGCCACATCCTCTTAGTTTGGATGAAAGCTTGTTCATCAGTTAGGAACAAATAATTGCAATCTGTCTTTTGAACTTGGATTACAAAATGAAAGGCAATGAAACTGATGTTAGAGACCATTTACTTTGAACAGCCATAACTGGATTCCATTTGTAATCCCCACTATGGAATGCACAGTTTCATCTCAAGAAAGCAAAACAAAAAAATGCCATGATTATCCATGACCTTATTTCTCTAGAAAACCTCCTGACCAAAAAATCTTTCTGCCAACCTACCGCAAACCATTCCCTTCTCACAAGTCACAGATGATTTCTCAGTGAGCAGGAACTGTAACCCCTAAACAGAAGTAAATTATCTGAAAAGTGGAGGGAACAATGCAACCATCAAGATCCTAAAACAACCCAGAAACTTCCTGTAGTCATCTACCCTCCTCCCCTCAATCATGTTTCTCTGTTCTGAAACAGGCTTCTGCTACTGTCTTTACACTACACACACACACACACACACACACACACACACACACACAGCTCTGGGCTTCCCTCCCTGCCCTTTCCTATGGGGGAGTCAGTGAGTGGCCAAAGGAGGAAAACTTTGAAAAATAAATATGTAAAACCTTTAAAAATGTGTAATAATGTTAAATTTACTGAAGTTAATATACCTGTCTGTGGTTATATAAGAGTATATCCTTGTTTTTAAGAAATACCTACTGGAATATTAGGGGTAAAAGGCCATGATACATGTGAATTACCTTCAAATGGCTCAGAAAAAAATAGAACAAATGATAAAGCAAATGCGGCAGAATGCTATCAATTGGTGAATCTGGGCCAAGAGTATGTGGGTATACTTTGAACTATTCTTGTCACTTCATTTCAAAATTAAGTGCTAGTAAAGTGCAGTAGTTCCCTACATTGGTGAAGAATCTCAATGTAGCTACATCTTAATCACTTTTTATTGTGTGCCATGCACTGTACTGGAACCTCAGTAGTGCTATAAATTATGTTCCTCTCCTGAGGAAGCTTAACATCTATTGAGGCTCAAACAGGAAGCAGATTATAAAAGTCTGAATAAGAAGTTCAAAAAACAAAGATCAGAGTAGGTGGATGGGATCAAGAAAGGCTTCAAGGAAAAGGGAGGGCCTGAGCCCCAAAGGCAGGATTTAAATCAGTAGAGGATATTTCAGACAAAGTCAATAAATCATTTGGGTAACACGGGGAGAGGCCTGAGCAGACACTTAGAGTACTGGAAGGGATAGTGGGTATTAGGAAGTATTGGAAAATAAGGTTGAGTAGTTAAACTGGGGCCAGTCTCTAAGTTCCTCAAAACCAGTGTCTAAGTAGGTCTCATGCAAAAACCAAACCCATAGGAAGTGTTCAACATACCCTTACCATTTGATGAAGCCATCATAACCTGATTAAGCCCAAAACCAAGATGAGGAGTACATCCATAATCCTATATATAACAGATATATACATATGTAATCATATAGATATTGATCCCAGAGCAGGGACTTTCTAAAGCTCAAGCTAAACAAGCTAAGTGATGATGGAGGACTTGGACGGACAGCAACGGAAGGTAAGTGTAGGTGACAAAGCCACTGTGAGGTATTACTGTTCAAATGCACAACTCTTTGAAGAGGTACCCACATTTCAAAAGGATGGGCTTGCAAGAAAGCTGTCGTTTCATTAAGGGATGAATCTCCTGAAGTGGGGGCATCTCAGATAGGAGCCCTGGTTGTTGGGCTTTTTTGAGGGTATCACAGGCCCAGTCCTTCTCCTAGAAGTAGCTGGCATTCTCAGCTGCTCAGAGCCACAGGAGCAGGACCTCATCGATACAGCAGGCCCATGCCTCCCATCTGTGCTCTAGCAAAGCCATGTGCAAATTTTAGTTGATCAAAGCCACTCCCCGCCCACCACAACTTGCATGAAAACTTCAGTCATGTATCTTCATTTCTGATTTCTTTTGACCAGCCAGCAGCCTCTAACAGCTTTAGTCTGATGATGCATCAACAAGCACCAAAATGCATTAGAGGTGGGGTGGGCAAACTGCGGCCAGCAGACCAACTCTGGCCCCACCATCTCTATTTGCATGACCCTCATGCTGAGAATGGCTTCTACATTTTTAATGATTGAAAAGAATCAAAATAATAATGATTCAGGACATGTGAAAATGAAATTCGGGCATGAATGTCAAATTTCAGTGTCTGTAAATGAAGTTTTGTTGGTGCCCAACTACACTCATCCTGTTCCATCCATATGATGTATGATTGCTTTTGTGCTTTAGTTAACAGTTGAGTAGTTGCAGAGACCAGATGTCTTGCACAGCCTAAAGTATTACCCTGCTGGCCTTTTACAGAAAAAGTTAGCTGACCCCTGACCTAGAGCAACTATTCTCAACACAAGGCTAGTTTGCCCTCTAGGAGACACATAGCATTGTCGAGACATTTTTCGTTGTCACAAGTGGGGATGGGATGGAGTGTTACTGACATGTAGTGGGTAGGGATGTTGTTAAACATGCTACAATAGCCAGGTCTCTGCCACAAAGAATCATCTGTCCTCAAATGTCAGTAGTGCTAAGGTTGAGAAATGGTGGATTAGAGGAACCTAAGAAACTTCTTGTAAAGAGGAAACTCCATCCTTAATAAAGAGTAGTTTATGGAACGCCCAAGGTCTTTTAATTTACATGAGCTTGTATAGCTTTCACAATCACCGTGCAAGGGAGTTACTGATATTCCCCCTTTACACGGAAGTTTGTAACACAATTTGACCACAACGCACATGGCTAGCAAGGCTGTCAGGCTCCAGCCTGTATTTTTCCACACCTTGCCTGCCGCTACTCAGTGGTGTCACAGGCTTTCATTCGGCTGCCCCCTAGTGTTCAAGCTATACAGATGCAGGCCAGTGTCCTTTCCTTCAGGCCTGGGTACCATGAGGATATGGACCACTACCCCATCTCCAGCATCGGGCCATTCGGGAAATGAAGCCAAGAGGGGTGGGGTGGGAATCTCTACCTCGACCCCAAGCAAACTTATAAAAACTGACCACCCTCCCTCTTGCCCACTTTCATTCAGGATGGGAGGCCCGGACAAGAGCTTCCCTCCCTGGTAGACCCAGGACACAAAATACTTGCTACCTTTAGAACGCTGTTTGACCTCGGCTGGTGTGGCCCAGTAGATTGAGCATCCACCTGCGAACCGAAACATCATCCGCCTGGGTTGCTGGCCAGGTCCCCTTGATGTTTCTTTCCTTCCCTTCCCCTCTAACAGTAAGTAAATAAAACCTTTTTTAAATGAATGCCTTTTGAGTCATAAATAACAGTCAGTCATGAATTTCCAGGGTGCTTACATCACAGGATTAAATGGGAGGAGAATCTTGTTTTGTGGGATCTGACACTCTTACTTCTTCCATCTATTATCCTAGATGATGAGCTCAATAGATCAGTCAGATCCATGCTAATAAAGGAAAAGTAGAGGACTTCCTGTCTACATCCATCTCGCACGCTCATCCATGAGAATTTCAAGCTCAGATGGAGGAGGGAGGGGACAGGGAAGCCCACCTAACTGGCTGATGGTGCCTCCCTGAGCCCCTCAAATCATCCACTTGGAAGGCGGCCACCTGCTCCTAAAGCAAACTGTGATGAGTCGCATCACCTAATGGTTTAAGATCAGATCACACAGCCATTGAGCATTTCTTTGAATTTTATTGAAAATTGACATGGACATTAGAAAGGTATCAAGCTAAACAGTGATGGCTTTGGGATGTTTCTCCTGGTGATTGGAAGCCCCAGAGGGGCAGTGAGTGGTCACACCTTTGAGCAAAAAGAAAGGAGAAGAAAGGAAAAACAACACAGATTCTGGAAAACATGCAAAGAGGCTCTCTCAAGAGACACTGGACAGTGGGATGGTGATGGCTGTCGGGATATACGGGAATGAGCACACTCACATGGTATTCTGATGCAAGTTAAACCAATGAATTCAAGGCAGATTTTCAACAGGAAAGCTTTCCGGCCAGATCCCAGGTTGAGCAGAAACCTCTCTCAAAACCTCAACTGGCTTTAGAAAGTTGAATGGATTGATTTTTCTCTCACTAAACTTAACCCCCCTCCCATCTTTCCTTTCCCCACTCAGTGTTAGTGGATCCATTGTCGCCCTTGCTGTGGGTCAGCAGGAGGTCTGTGAATGCTGAAGAAGATACAGATGTCGCTTGACTTTCCCTTCCATATTCAGAAATGTTTAATAGTGGCTGCAGACAGTCAACCCACTGAACTGGAGAATTCGTGTTTAAAAAGAAAAACAAAAAATTCAACTGAAAACTTGAGAACAGCACTTCCACACCCACAGCTGAGGTCTCCTGCCCCAGTCACTTACACTTGGGTGAGTTATCCTGTAGTTGATCTCTGAGGTTACACTTGGTCCATTCTCCAGCTCTGATGGTTCTTTTCCTGCCTTGTTAGGTTAGGACAAGACACTTCTGTTTAAAATACCGTGTAAGTCAGGAGAGAGCTTCTTGCCTGGACACAGGGACATATGAACACTTGCTGAGTGTGTAGAGTGTGTGCGTGTGTGTGTGTGTGCAGTTTGGGGGAAGAGGGAATTGATTGGTTTCTGGCTTGACACAATGTGGAACCCTAACTCTTCTATAATGGCAGTCTTCTCCTTTAGATTTAATGCAGCTGCTGAAGACAAGATTAAAAAAAGCTGGAGAGGGAGAGAGAAAGAGAAAGAAAACACGGAATTAGCCAAAGAAAAAGAATATTCAAAGTAAGACAGGGCAATGGGAGGGGGGCAGCGTGAGGTAGAACAGATTATACTTGCAGAAGACAGGTTAGAAATGGGGTCACTGATGGCCCATCACCACCGGGAAACAGGCTGAGAAGGTTTTAAGAACACCACACACCGGTTTGAAGCTTCTTGTTTTAATTAAAAACAAGCACATATTAACAGCCACATGGGAATGCCACACGATTAAAAGAGGAAACAAAAACAAAAACAAAAGTGATCTGCACTGCGGCTAGGAAAAGCAAACTTCTTGGCTTAAGAGAAACTAGGGTGCGTGTGTGTGTGTGTGTGTGTGTGTGTGTGTGTGTGTACACCTGGGGATTTTTCAGGAAAGCTGTTCCAGTCCAGTCTGGAAAAATAAAAGCACAGACCATTTCTAATGACTGGTTTTGTTTCACCAGAAGTAAACAGAGTAGTTAGGGTATTTAAAAAAAATAGCAACAACCATACTCATTAGAAAGCCTTCACCAAAGGGGAGGGGGAATCTTTCTCTCTACAGCAAGAAAACTACCACTAACCAATGTCACCCCAATAATAGATGTAATACAATTAAAAAAAGAAAGAAAACTACCCAATAAAATATCAATTTTAATTCTTTTCCATAGTGTGGATCAACTTCCTAAAGGCCTTATGCTCACGCACAGGTTAGATTTTCATTTACCAAACTTTCTTGATTATAAGGATCATCTAGGGCCCCTGTTAAGCAAAGCGTGCCTGGGCCCCATTCCAGACTTCCAGGAAAGCTGCCCAGCTCACGGTTGCTGGTGACCCCTACTGTCAGCAGAAGCAGTCAGTTCAGGAGCTGGTCTGAAGTCTTCTGCTTTGCCCGCCTTTACCCACTCATCCTTGGATATTTTTCTATGGGAAAAAAAAATGCAAGAGGCCTCTAATACCAACTCTTCAGGTTCTCTGAGCATCAGAAGACCTTGTCTCTAGGAACACATAGAAATGAACAGACTGAATCCCTTAATGAGGTGGACCGGGAATCAGGAGATACTGAGTTTGGCTTGGCTTCTGCCACAAAACAGCCCTGGGACCTCTGGCAAGTCCCTTCACTTCTCTAGGCCTCGATTTTCTCTTCCAAAAAAAGTGGGTCATTTCTGTCTTGCGAACCAAAATTTCTCGCTCAATACAAAAGCCCTGCCTAGTCTCTGAAGGTCTCTCAAAGGCTGCGTGTGGCTCTAAAAGTTTTGGAGTTTTCAGAGCTCCTCAAGCCTCAAGTACTTAATCTGTAAACAAATGCAAATGAGGGGCCCTGTTTGAGATGCAAAGAACTACCCTGGGGGAGGAAGACTGGTTGGTTGTTTTATGTTTGGGATTCGTGGGAAGCAGCTGTGAAACCAGACCTGGAAACATCAAAGCTGCAAACAAGCCGCCTTTCCCTAGAAGGCTGGACAGCCCTAACTTAGCGTCTCTCTGAGCTACTGGGTGAGTGTCCAAGTTCGTGTTTTAAAAGAAAAAAAAAACAAAAAACCCTGCAAGGCATAGGGTCTGCTATAATGTTCCACTATGAGACTTGGATTTGGCAGCAAGCCCTTCATACTTGCCGGTGCCACTAACCAGTGACTCACCAAACAATAACATATCAAAACTGCACTCTCGCTTTACCAACAAGAAAAGATCAAGAGTGTGCATGTGTTTGATGTTGATTTTCTCTACCTTACCTTTCGCCTCCTATTATTATTATCTATGACTGAAGAGAGAAACTCTTGCCATTCGCAACACTTCAAAAAAGCCTGAATATTTGGCATAGCCTTGATAAACAGTGTTTTGAAAGAAACTAACCAAAACGTAAAAAACCCTTGAAAAATTAAAAAGAACTTGTTCATGGTCAGCGCCAGTGAGACTGGGAAGCAGAACTCAAAAGAAGAGGGGACGAAGTGGAAGTACATGGCAAGGGCGAGGGGCCCAGCTTCCTGGCACCCTGCAGGAAAGCTGTCAGTTAAAATTGGAACCTTGGTTTAAAAGGCTAAATGGAGTCCAGTCCAGCTGTAGCGGGGGATACTATTCAGTACACAGCCATGGATTACTGCAAAGGAAGGGCAGAGAAAGGGCATGTTAGCCACAGATTATTGCCAGCTCACCTCCAGCTCTCACTCTCTCACTGGCCACACACCAAAGGCCACTGCGCCTGACAACGGAGGGCTCTCCAGTTCCAAGGATTTCCCAGAGCCATTATCGGATAGCCCCCTTGATCAAAATGAGGACTGGAATGTTTATAAACCAAATCTGTAGACTGGAGACAAAGTTAGGGACCTCCCGAGGAATAACAAACACTCCTCCTCTCCAGTTGATAATCTCACCTCTTCTTATTAGGAGAAGCCAGTCTGTATGCAAAATACGGATTAAAACTCATAATCACATTGCCCAAATAAATAAACTGGAAGACTCGTCAAAGCAAAACTGAAAACACTGATTCTTTGACCGCTCATTTTGGCAGTTTGTGACACGGGGTTATTATACCCGCTACTGACCCTGCCTTTGGGGGATGGTGTGGAGCCCTAAGGGAGATTACAGAGGGGATGCTGACACACCTCGGAAGAAGTCCTTAAACCTATCATTCAAGACACTAGGCTGGTGGTAACATTCAGGTTTATTTCCCTTTCTGCATCTGTGGGGTATCCAGAATTATAGAGAGAGGGAATTTATGCTATTTCCTTCAGCAGTCATGTTTTCTGGGAGGGGCTTGCTGTAGATAAACTTATTCTGGAATTTACACACAGCTTGAGTACAGTTACTTTGAGTGAATCAAAACCGGAAAGGGCTGGGCTGAGAGGCCTAAAGGAAGAGGCGCCAAAGGCTCTCCTGGAGCCCTCTGAGAAGGAGCTGTGGCTCTGCTGGGAGGCGGCAGGTACTCGGGGAAGCCCGGTGACTAGGCACTAAGGGGGAAAGCCTTGTTGGCTGGTGCTTGCTTACCCAGCCACAGTGGAGGCAAATACCTCAGGGAAGCGAGCAGCCATCAGAGTGCAAACAAGGAAACTGGTGGTGGAGAGCAGCAGGCAGGAGCCCTGAACATGGTACAGTCTGGCAAAGATGGAGATGGGAAGTGGCTGGCGGGAAGTGCTGGGAGGGGAAGTGGGATGCATGATGCATGTCTAAGCCACATGGCTGCTGGCTTCCTGACCAGAGGCCAGACACCATCCTCAGACTCTCCAGCTTCTATGAACTTTGGCGGGAAGAGAGTGAGGGGCACTGGTTGTGCGCCCCCGACTCATGTTAAGGGGTAATTAGAAAAAGGGAGGCCCAGGTCTGTTGTGCAGGAAAGGGCGTCTACCGGAAGCGCAAACTGAAAATAAAAAGAGAAGTTGGGTTAATGAATGGATGGATTAATGTACGAAAAAAAACAGGTTAGAAGAAAACTTTCTCCTAATGACTAATAGATAAGTTAGAATATATAGATAGCTATGTTAAATGATCTTAAGGTCCTATATTGCATTAGCTCCTGGGAACATGCTTTCTTGCTTATGGCAGCAGTGGTGGTATTAGCTAAAAAATAATTATCAACAGTCTCAAGAATACTTTCTCTCTTCTTAATTACTAGGTCCTGATTAATGCCCCCCCCACCAGGCACCTTGTACAGAAATACCTTCAGGAAATCTCCAGGGGGTCTCAGGCCACTGGACAGAGCACCATGCTCTCAGCTACCAACTGCCTTATCCCCCAGGGAAAGCACATAAAGTTCAGGTTTCACCCCAGGTAGCCTTTGGAACAGCCTTTCAGCTAAATAGGTACTCTGGGGCAAGAGCAGTCCTAATTAGCTAAGTAGCACCCTGGGGCAATAATTGTTTGGGAAGTGTCTTGTTTCAGAACAGTCACCTGAAAACCTGAACTATGGAAATCTATGACTGGTTTGTGTTCACCTGGCACTTTGACCTTTCCTTCAGTTAAACTTCATCCTTGTGACATAAACAGGGCAAGTAGTAGCCATCCCCACTTCATACATGAGGAGACTGACAAACACAGGGAAATCAACTGTCTTGCCCACTCACAAAGAAAAAGACAACCAGAATCAGAGCCTGAATTCCTTGGCTGTTTAATTATACCATAGTGTCCCTGCCAATACCTTGGCTGTGGATCTAAGCCCCTGTTTTTTACCTGAAGAATACATTTATCTCACTAAATAAAGACTATTCGATATTTGGAGGGATAGTTAAAAGCATATGATTATGTATGTTTGTACAGTTACTTCCTCAGAGTGAATACATCCATACACCTACACGCATGCATTGAATGGCAATTTATACCAAAAACACGAGTTCTGCCCTGGCTGCTGTGACTAAGTGGATTGAGTGCTGGCCTGCGAACCAAAGGGTTGCCAGTTTGATCCCAGTCAGGTCACCTGGCCAGGTCCCCAGTAGGGGGCATGCAAGAGGCAACCACACATTGATATTTATCTCCCTCTCTTTCTCTCTCCCTTCCCCGCTCTCTAAAAATAAATAAAACCTTAAAAAAAAAAGAATAGGAATTCTACATCTTGTTCTAGTTCTGCCACTAACTCACTGTGTGATCCTTGGTTAAGTCTCTTAAATTCCTCCTCCGTGTACTCATCAACTGAAGATTATTCCTTCCTTACCTGACAGGATTGTTGTAAAGGCTAAAGTGAGATACCATATGAAAAAACACTTTGAAAAGTATTAGGATGTTATATGAATGCTCCTCTCTTATTTAATTTTTTTGTCTACTTCCCAGAGGAAGGGAAACCTAAAAAACAACACTGCAGTCGCCTATGTTCTAGACTTCACAGGAAGGCTGACATATTTTGATACATGTACACTGTTGCATATACCGTGCAGCCTCCAAGAGACGGGGGCCAGTAACCACTGAGACACAGGATCTACAACTGTACAGGTCACAGAAGAATTGTTTGTCTGGCAGTTTCAGACAACCACGAGTAAGTAGTGTCCCAAGCAATTTCAAGACCAGTAAGGAACAGTAAGCCTCAGTCTCCTTACTGAGGGGTGGCCTTTGTGATCTGCCCGAGGATGAAGGCTTTGGGGAGGGAACAGGCTGCCTTTGCTGCTTTCAGGTCCCACAGAGCCAAGTCCTCCCTCCCCTATTTGGTTTGGAACTGCTTTTGTGGTCTTCTGGGGAGAAGCCTGCCAGGAAAAAACTCGACCTACTTGGGTTGAGGTTGGCTGTTCCTGCTGTTTGCTAATTGCCTCTCACTTATAAAGTAACGCTTTAATTATAGTTTTGCCAGAATTCATTTCAGTAATGGCCACTAACAATGATTTACTCAGGGAAATGTAAACCAAATTGTGTCAAACTGTATTAATTCAGCCTCAGTAATAGATCTAACTTACCAGAATACATCTTTTCTACTCTCCTCATTAAAATGGGGGAACAAAGAGGACACACGTGGACTGAGCTTCTACAGGTATCAGACACACTGCAAGGCACTGGGACCACCACAGAGGACAGTATAGGAAGTGATCGTCTTCCTGAATAGAAATCTGCTGCTCAATTCCAGTCAACTAACAGGGACTCTAAAGACTTGCCATTAGGCTAGACAATAAATCGTTTCATTGTTCTTTTAGGGTTGTTTCCTTTGGCCCAGTTTCACGGGCCTTATGTTTCAGACGCCTCTGCGGACTTCCTCTCTGGGACTTGCTTGAAAATAGGATGTTTTGCCAGCTGCCTAAAGTCCCCAGTGTAATAACTGCAGCTCAGTCTGGTGATGAACAGCAGGCTCTCCATTTAAATCATAAGCTGCATTGGTAAGTGGGGAGAAGCCCTTACTATTTTATATTCCTCGATCTGAACAAACCAAATGTGAAGGCATTTATGAGACAAGTGGAGTATTCTGAACACTGACTGGGAATTTTATGTGAATGAATTGTTAATTTTGTAGGTGGCATTGTGGTTATGCTTTTTTAAAAAGATTTTATTTATTTACTCTTAGAGAGGAAGGGAGGGAGAAAAAGAGGTAGAGACACATCTATATGAGAGAGAAACATCAATCGGTTGCCTCTCGCAAGCCCTCAACTGGGGACCTGGCCCGCAACCCAGGCGTGTGTCCTGACTGGGAATCAAACTGGTGACCTTTCAGTTCACAGGACGAGGCTCAATCCACTGAGCCATGCCGGCCACGGCTGTTTGTTTTAAAGAGTCATTACCTCTTTTAAAAATGGATGCTAATGTATTTACAGATGAAATAATGTGAGTTTTGCTTTATAATAATCCAGCAGGTTTGGGGTAATAGATGAAACGGGATCAGCCCCACGCTGACAGTTGTTCGGGGGCTGGGTTTTGGGCAACTGGGTTGCACTCTGCTGTCCTCTCTCTTCTTGCGCTTCTGTTTGAAAGTTTCTCTGGTAAAGTTTCTCTGGTAAACAATAGTAATAAGCTTAATTGTGTGAAATGAAACGCATTTACGTTCCCTCACTATCTACTACCTGAGTCTCATAGAACAGGTGCTTCATCATTGCTACAGTCAACTATAAATGGCGTGATGCCAGGAACTGCTTTATTCCCTTCTGCAGGTACAACACGTAGCACTAAGGAACCCATCTCACCAAAGCTAGGTAGGTGTTCATGAAACTGGTACCTTGTAGAATTAAATGTAAGGAACTCTATAATACCTGAGAGTCCTGACTTTCTTCCACTTTCACTATAGTTTGGGTGGGGGTGGGCACAGAGCCAAAAAAATTTGGAGAACTTGAACCCTTCGAATAAGAAATTGCCCCCTGAGGGAATTGCTCAGAACATTCCCAAACCTGGGGGGCAATGCTGCCGTGACAACTGCAAAGCAGGGCTGCTAAGTCCAACAATTTCCCTCCTCATCACAGTCTAGCTAATTTTGAAAGTCATGCTTAAGGCTCTTTTAGAAAGAAATGGTCAAAAGTGAACCTCAAATATTGATCCACCTATGCTACCCAGCTGTTCTCTCAGCAGAAGTCTGAAAACAACCCACTTTTAATCAGGCAGGGAAACATTCCACATGTACACTTGAGACCACACCAGACTATTCCTTAATATTCTAAGTCACAAGAGGAAACCAGTTAGGGCAATGATGCAGCCTATTTTATAATTAGATATGTGTGTTGAGGCGGGGTGGGATTTGGGGAGATGTGTTCTAGAAGCCACCGTCAGTTCTATTTAGAGTTAATAAAGCTTACCAGGACCCTGGGTCTCATGCAGCATGCAGCAAACAGCAGAGTTAACTGTAAAACAGTAAGAGCTGATGAAGATGGAGTGAACTTGAGGAGAAATCAAATATTATGTGTTCACACAAATAATGAAGAGTTAGAGGTCAAAGGAGGTTAGGAGTAGTAGGAGGGGAGGTGGGGAGGGTGGGCTGGTAGGGATCCCTGAAATACAGGTACTCTTTCTTAACTGCTAAAGGCAGCCAAAGGAAATTCTAAGGACGTGACTCTATTATAACCAACCACCATTTCTCAATCGGAAATGCCACTATCACCACTTCTACCCTCATACCCACCACCACCATCATTACTCTGGGACCACAGTGACACAGGTCTCACAATGGGTATTTCAGAAGTCAGATAACTGCTTAAAGAATTATATAAGATGCCCAGGTCTGGAGCCACTCATATATCTGGAAGTACGAAAGAGGACAGCCTGTTCTGTCAGGTCCTTATTCCTAACATGAGGTGCCACGTGCTTAGTAAGGTTTTCACCCAAAAATTTCACTCAGCATTAGAAAAGGGTACCATCACCAGTGCCAAACATTCCTGGAGACTGTAGAGAGAGTCTTTTGCCTGAGGTTGGCAGGGGTGGGGGTAGTAGGAGGCATCAAGTAATTCAAGGCAACTGGGGAAAAACCCGGGAGAAACTTCCACTCCCAGCAGAACAGAGAATATTTATAGTTTAGTGTCTGTCAGTGGGATTCGAACAAATGAATCTTCTAATTCCTGCAAGCAGGCTGTGAAACTACCCCAGGGATTGACTTAATGAATGCCACAGGGCTATGAAAGCAGCAGGTTACAGCTGGAAGACCAATTTAGACTTTTCTGGTCTTAAAAATAGGAATCCATGCCTGCTGGCACAACTAACACACCAAGACAGATCAGTTAATATACAGTGTTCCCAAAGAGGCATTTTTCCTGGCCAGTTGAACTTTATCCGTCAAATAATACCAAAAAGAGTTAATTAATCAGTGAATTTTGACATATATGGTTATGGTTCAGTAACACAAATGTCTAGACTAACTGGTGAAAATGTTCAAATTATACTTTTGAATAAAGAATAATCAGATTGCAAAGCTGAGTGCTTTCAAATATAAAATATTTTAATACTGTACAAAAGCCACTATTTTATTCCTAAGTGATAAGCCAGGCACAGAGGAAAGGAAGATGTTTCCTTCTTTTGCCAAATATCTGATAATTGAGTCAAGAACAAGTGGCTAAGAACAGAGGGCAATGACCATGGGCATCTTTCAGATCCCCAAGCCCCTTTACTAAGGACATTGTCTAACACTCCATCTGAGGGCTTCCTGAGCCACACTGCACAACTACAGAGCACAAGGGACCAGTGGGTCTTTTCATGCTGTTGTATAGGTCCCATCAGATATGCTCTTCTCTTCTCTGGTTCTGGGATGAGGAATGAGGTGGGTGAGGATAACGGGCCCCCATGGTAATCAGGAGCCTATGCTATCCTGCCTTACCAAACACCAGGGAAAAGAGGCAGATTGTAAAATCATTCCCCAGGTTGAGAATGGGGCACCCAGAGTGTACCAGCATCTGAGGGATCCCCACCAAGTTCTCAGTGCCCCAGGCCAGAAACAACTAAACAGTCAAGAGGATGGACAGCAAAAGGATGAGAAACCGGAACTGGGCTACAACCTTTGACAGCAGCAGTTAAACTGCTGGCTGCAGCTAGTGAGAACTAGGCAGAGAGAGGCTTGGCCTGCAAACAGAGAGAGGCAAACACCTCAGGCATAGGACGAGAAAGCAGGCCTGTAAGCCCATCGGCTCCAACCCCTCTCCACGGGAGAGCGTACCCAAAGGTTTCTGTGAAGACTCTCTCCCACTACCCTCTGTCTGCCCCTTTTTGTTCATCTTTTCCCCATAACTGTGTGGCACTCATTGTTTCCTCCCTTCTTTCTACCCTCTCACGGTCCTTTTGCTTTTCCTCTCCTTTCCCTCCCTCTCTTCCTACCTGACTTTGCAGGACTTTCCTAAGCAGGCCAAACAAAGGGCCTGGGCCTCTATGACTTACTCTCAGTTCCCCAAATTCAGGAAATCCGAAGGTCCTGCGGGGACACTGAGACCAGTTACAGGTACCCAAACTGGTTGAAGTCCACAGCTCACCTCTGCTCACCATCTCTGAGGCCTCTTCAGCCTCCAGGTCCCACCCTGAGGGGGATGAGCAGGAGGAGAAAGAAGCCACCACGCCACAGCAGCCTCTCACTTACTTTTTCTTCTCTTTGTCCCTTTTCAGAGTCTGCGAGCCTCCAGCCTGGGAGCCCTGGGACTGGAGCAGCTCGGCCGCCGTCTTTCTCTGTTTGAAAGCATTCACTTCATCATCCAGGGATTTCTTCTTATCTTCCAGCTTCTTCTTCTCGTCCTGGTGTAGTTTCTTCAGACGGTCAAACTTCTCGTGCAGCTGGCAAAAAAGCACAGGGAGGTTGGGGGAGTCCCCCGTGAGCAGCTCCCAGCTGAGCTGAGCACAGAGTGACTGGGGACTTCCAACGCTGTAGGACCCTGAGACCTCAAGAGACACTTCTGTTAGAGACAGCTATGATGGCACCAAAGGTCACTGTGTTCTGGATAGTCTCCCCCTGCCATTTTACTTCCAAGTTTCTGCTCCTAAATATAGTCAAGGAACTGCGCATTCTGTTTAATCAAACGTTTTCTTTAAAAGAGTTACCACATGGACCCTGGAGAGTATGGCTCAGCTGGTTGGAGCATCATCCTATAAACTGAAAGATCAAGGCTTTGATTTCCAACCAGGGCACATGCCTGGGTTTCGGGGTCAGTCCCTGGCTGGGGTGCATGTGAGGCAACTGACTGATGCTTTGCTCTCACATCAATGTTTCTCTCCCTCTTTTTCTCCCTCCCTTTCCCTCTCTCTAAAAATCAGTAAGAATGTCCTCAAAAAATAAAATGAGTTACCACATGGTTAGTAATATCAATTATAATAGTATAACATTTGTTGAATGATTATTGCAGACCGGGCACTGACTTTTATAAAAACTTTGTATATATTAACTCATTTAACCATCACAACACTCATACGAGGTAGGTTCTTTTGTTATCTGCATTTTATGAGGAAACAGAAGGTGAGAGAAGTTAAGGAATTTGTCCAACCAAGGTCCATCCATTCTATACATTATTGATTGGACAGTGAGATCTCCCAATGTGTTAGGGCTCCTGGCGTTTTTCATCTCCTCCAGTCAGGGAGGATCACCATGGATTGGAAAGCAAACTTCAACAAATGCCAGAGCTGGTCGAAGGACATACTTGTTCTTAAACATAGAAAGAGATTTTTTTTTTAAGTTTTACAAAACAGAATGAGTGTGAAAACCTCAGTCTTGACCAAGGGGAGGATCGATTAGCCCTGAATAGAGCCAGAGGCCAGCAAGAATATTCTGGCAAGCCATTGTGGTAAGTGGATCAAGAGGTATAGGTGATGTCCTGACCGATGTGGCTCAGTTGGTTGGGACTCATCCCTTAAAGCCAAAGTTCACTCAATTGATTCCTGGTCAGGGCACGTGCCTGGGTTGTGTGTTAAGTCCCCGGTTAGGGAACATACAAGAGGCAATTGGTCAATGTTTCTCTCTCTCTTTCTCCCTCCCTCCCTGTCTCTCTAATAATGAATAAATAAAATCTCTTTTAACAAGAGGTACAGGTGGTAACAAACTAGAATGAGAAAAACCACCTTAAACAGTAAGAGTAGACCAAGCATAATTTTCACTTTATAAAAAAGATTTTATTTATTTATTTTTAGACAGAGGGGAAGGGAGGGAGAAAGAGAGGGAAACATCAATGTGTGGTTGGCTCTTGTGCACCCCCTACAGGGTACCTGGCCTGCAACCCAGGCATGTGCCCTGACTGGGAATCAAACCAGCAACCCTTTGGTTTGCAGGCCCGTGCTCAACCCACTGAGCCACACCAGCCAGACCCAGTTTTTTTTTTTTTTTGAGGATTCAAAAGAGAATTTAGGATTCTGTAGCACTTGCAGCATGTCATGAGGGAGGTCAGGCCTCTAGGTCCTACAGGTATTTGGGACTGGCATTTAGTAAGGGGCGGTGGATGACAGGCTTGCAGTGTAAACCAGCTCTTACTAGTCCCTTGGAGTAAGGTAGCAGAAGCTCTGCTGATCATTTGCCTTAACCTGGCTTTTGTCCATTGGCTTTTCATCCATCTCTCTTTGAGCTCCCTTTACCTCTCCTCCTTAAAGGCCTAGGTGACATTTCTTTTTGAAAAATGAAACTGAAATATAATCAATACCCTTATTCTGGGCTTCAGTGATAACCCTAGAGAGTCACAGCAGATTACCAGGAAAGAGACTTGGGAAGTCATTAAGTGCTTCCGTTCATCGTGGGTCTTGAGGCCCAGAGAGGTGAAGCAGTTGTTCATGTGACCCAAACTGTAGTTGAGGCCACTGTACTGGGCAGCAGTGGGTGGAGTGGTCGGGGGACCTGGGACGCAAGGCAACAGTTAGAGGACTAACTGTACTCTATTAGGCCCAGTTCGAGTGATGAAAACCCCAGAGGGACCATTAAACTATAGTTTAAAAACTTACTAGAGCCACACAGATGTTTCTTTAATGTCACCATGAAATGGAACAGAATATCTGACTGACTAGGAAAGTGCCCCCAGCGGTTACTGTTTTAGGTTTCAACAAGGCACCCAGGGATGCCTGGAACCATCTTTCCCCATGGCCATCAGTGCAGTTGGAATGGGGCCCAGCAGGGTGGGCCAAGCGCAGCAGGGTGGCCAAGAAAGTCATCAATTATCGCTACTGAGCTCCAAAGTCCCAGGAAGAGAGAAAAGAATCAGTTCACACCAGTCCCTAAGAGGCTGTGTGAGGTCTTGACTTTTGAGCAGTGCTGCCCAACAGAACCCTCTGCAGCAATGAAAATGTTCTGTATCTGTGCTCTCCAGTACGATAGCCACTAGTCACACAAGGATTGAGCATTTGAAATGTGGCTAATGTGACTGAGAGACTGAGTTTTAAATTTTAGTTCATTTTAATTAATTTCAATTTCAATAGCCACATGTGGCTAGTGGCTACCTGACAGACCACGCTGCTCTAAAGAATTCAGTAACACAGAGTGAGAAAACACCCTGGCTTCAGGGAATGAGGAACCAAGGAAACACAGATGTCCTGCAGCTCCCTCTGTGCCAGCCAAGGCAGGGCTACACGTGCTGCACCCTGTTCTTGCCCGGAGGCTGCAAGGCTCTGGCTGGCTGTGCTCTCAGGGCAGAAGCCCCGGCCGTGCCCAAGCTCTGCCTATTTTCCCTTCCCACCTATCACCTAGGCTCACATTTACCTCTTTCTCTGCCTCTTTGAGTTCAGCTTCTTTCTCTTTGACTCTTTGGACAAACATCTGTCTCATCTCCTCTTCTTTTTTCTGGAGCTCTCCTAGGAACTCGTTCCTTTTGGCCTCATATGTCTCCTGTAAACTACAAACATGGTCAGGTTAATCCCACTGTCTTTGGAGTGGCTCCTGGTTGATGAACACGGACCCCAATGATTCTCCCTGGGTTCTCGTCCTTTCCTTCCCTGATTTTGGGACAGGTGCAAAAACAGCACCACAAAGCTGTGGGCAGCGGGCTTCGCATGTGACAGCAGAATCACAGGGCTGCTTGCGGGTAATGGCGTAGCCCCGGGGACCTTGAGAGATATTTAGAACTGGCAGTGACTTAGAACACCTGCTTCTATACTCTCATTTTACAGGTGAGCAAACAGGCCCAGAAAGATGAGGTGACCTGCTCAAGACCACACAGCTAGTTAGAATCAGAGGTGGAACCAGAAACTGGGTCCTTTGTCTTTTACTGTGGGCCCACCCACTGTACTCCGCTGCCAGGTCCTGGCTCTGAAACTGGCCGCATTAATGAACTCTTGTAATAAACACTTGGTGAGACTCCACCATGTGCTAGACACAAGACCGAGTGACACTAATGCTAGTCATTCAACACCTACAGCCAACAGCCACTGCGCCTGCCATCAGGGAACTCACGGTTTAGTGGGAGATGCCTAGGCTAAGTCTCCCTGCCTCAGGCCTGGACTTGGTTTTAAACAAACAGGCATTAATCTGGTGAAAAAGAGGAGGAATTGTGCTCCGAGAAGAGCAGCATGTGGAAAAGCACGTGTGGAGAGAGACTGGCCTACTTGAGGAGCCACACACAGTCCAACATGGCTGGAGTAAGCTGTGGAGTGGTGGGATATGAAGTTCCTCAGTCTGGCAGGAGAAAGCAGATGCTGGATGCCATACAAGACTTGGAACTTTATCCATGGTAAGGTTTTAAGCAGGAGGACCAACTTGATTCACTTTGAAAATGACAAAGACCACTCTGGCTATTGCACAAAGGATAGAGGTCCCAACAATCCAAGGAAGAAATGACCGGATCTTACTGTTAAGAGCTGGTAAGGAATGGGGGACATGAGATACCTACAAGAATAGTAAAGGGACAGAACTCACAGGACTTAGGAGGACTCAACGATTATTCAGGTTTTTTGGCTCGGGCAAGCAGATGAATGAATGATGGTGCCATGAGCCACGACAGGGAACACTGGAGAAGAAGTATGGTTAAGAGGGAAGAAGGTGACTTAAGTTTTAGACAACCTGAGTTTCAAGAGCGTTACCTATGGAATGTCTGAGTGAAAACATCCAGGGTATAGTTAGATCAATGGGTTTAGAGCTGAAACAGGCGATTTTAGATTGGGATTCACCTATTTCTAGGTGCTAATTACGGCTGTGAGAGGAGAAATAACCAGCTACAAAGAGAATAGAAAGTGAAAGGACCAGAGACCCTAGGAAAAGAATCCTGGGGGCACAACATTTAAAGGAGCAAGCTTAAGAATATGAACCTGCCAATGAAGCTGAGAAGGAGCAGCAAGAGACACAGGACTGAAACCAGCCAAACCAGTAGTAGAAAAGCCAAAGGCAGAGAGAGCTTTGGGAAGGAGGCAACAATGAGCAGTATCAAATGCTGAGATAAAAAAAAAAGAGAGAGAGAGAGGCCCTGACTGGTGTAGCTCAGTGGAATAAGCGCGGGCCTGCGAACCGAACAACCATGGTTCGATTCCCAGTCAGGCACATGCCTGGGTTGCAGGCCAGTTCCTGGCAGGGGATGCAGGAGAGGCAACCATACATTGATATTTCTCTCCCCCTCTCCTTCCCTTCCCCTCTAAAGATAAATAAATAAAATCTTTTAAAAAGAGAGAGACGGGACTTAGAGGCTATGGTGTAACTGGCCATGAGCATGTGATTGCTGACTTTGGAGGGAGGCATTTCAGTGGCATGGTGGGGTCAGAAGTCAATAAATACAGAGCAACTCTTTCTCTTTCCTGTTTAAGGGCAGAATTTCTTGACAGGACAGAGGCTGGTGAGGAGGAGCAGTTAAGGGTGAGTTTCTTTAGGATGAGAATATTTGCATGCAACATGAGCCAGCAGAGGAGTGCAGAGGGTGAAGACATGGGTAACAGGTGTGCAGGATGGAGCAAAGGAGGAGGGGAGGGGGCTAGAAGAACAGCTAGAGGCACACCTGTTCTTCCACAGATGCAGATTGAAGCTGGTGGAGGGGAAGGATAGAGAAACTAAGGAAGCGCCCAATGGAGAGGCAAGCACACCTTCCTCCAGCCCCGGGAGCTCCAGTGGCTTCTGTCCATGAAGGGGACTGCCTGCCCTTCCAGAATGAGGCAACCCTGAAGGACTGGCTGTGCTTTACCCCCAGGCTGGGTTTCCACTGCGAGCAGGTACCCTGGATCTCAAAGGCCGTGTGACAGAGTCCTTAACCCAAAGCCTCCCCGTCACCTGCTTATCAAGTCCTGACATTTCGTGAAAGGAGAGACAAAGCTCTGGTAAATAGCAACACATGGTCTTTTAAAATGTGCGACTTCTGTCAGGTATCATGCATACAGATCAGACACTTATACCTCACACATTGCTCCTATTAAGCAGAGTAAACTGCTTTCAAAACCATTCCTCTTCTCTGGAGGCATCTTAGATTCTGATTTGAGAAGTATGAAAAAAAGAAGTATGTCAATGATCATTAACATCCTCTGGTCAGAACAAAACTTGCACTTGACAGTGAATGAAGAGCCTAAAGTTCATCGATATACATACAATGACTACGACTTGATCCCATCTGGTTTTGATCATGGGCTGGAGGGTAAAGAACACACTGGATACCAGACAGAGCAGCAGGAGCCTGATGAAGAAAGTGGGGCATCGGCCAGGCACAAGCTGCCACACTAGGGAAGAAGGCCCCAGCTCAGGGCACCCTTTTGGCAGAGCTGGCTGCAGCTGCTGTGTGTACACACTGTAGCGATGAGATCATTGACCTTGCTGGGCCTACGGGCCTCCTGCCTGACCCAGTGCTCACCAAGCCCACCTGGCCACAACTCTGCTGCGAAGGCAGAGAGGGACTGGCAGGTAAAATTGGCAAGTGACTGAGTTCTGCTGCTCTCGGTCTTAGCACCTGTGCGCTAATCCCCTGTGGATGCTCCAGGGTAAAGCTTCCACATACCCCGGGTTGGCTGGGCTGAGTTGGGCCGAACTGGTGTGAGAGATACCTGAAGGGTTTGCTATCGGGATCAGTGTCCTTGAAGCCCATCTCCTCCAGCTTGCAGCGGCGGTACAGCTCATAGTGCCGGCTGTGGGTCTGCTCCCGCAGGTCCTCCATGTTGACCCGAATTAGCATCTCCCGCAGCTTCACAAAGTCGCAGTGGGCCTCGTTTTCAACTGCATAGCAGGGGTTGGGAGATTAATAGTATATTGAAAGGAAGGCCAGAAGAAGCAGAAATGGTGAAATGAGAGATGGAATGTCTTACAGCGACATCGCCTTTCAAACTATATACAAACCTTGCAAATTTGACTGACTCCTGCTTTACTTCTCTACTGATAAGGCAAATGAAAAGTTACAAACAAGAATGATGGTAATGGAAAACCACAAAACCATAAAAAAAAAATCTCCCCAGACATTCCGGAGCACCTCAACCCCAATTCACCAATCAGACACTCACGGGAGTGCTTGCCCTGCACTACTTGTAGTGCAATGGAACATGCACATTCAGCAACCTGTCCAATAAAAACTTGTGGATTCTTTGTTCCCAGTACTGCATGAGGTACTGGGAATTCAGAGACAAAGTCATGGAGTCTTGTCCTCAGAAGTTTAGTGGAAGAACAAGTGCAAACAGATAAATTCAATACAATACAAAAATTACAAAAACAGAGGTAGATAGCCCGGGTGCAATAAAATCCTAGAAGAGGAGGGGACCTAAGAACTCATGGGAGAGTGAAGGCTTCACCAGAGAGGTAACCACTGTAATAACTCTCGAAGAAGGAATAGAAATTTATCAGGCAGAGGAGGGAATATGTTTTGCAAGGTCTCAGTGAGATTAGGCAAGGTCGCATAGTAAGTAAATTGCAGGGTTAGGATTCCAATGCAGGTCATACAAAGCCGGGGCAAAGGCAATGCCTGGGTGTCAAAGTTCCCAAAATCTATGGGGAAAGAACTAAGAAATCAATAGCTGACAGTGACAAGCGGGGGTATGGCCCCATCTGGATGGGAGAAGCTTCAAAGGAGGTGTTTTTTAGAGGGTGGATAATGGCCTGACAGCAGCAATAGTGACTGGGATGAACAAATTGGACCCCACTTTGTAGCCTGAGTGGACAAGCCTCCTCCTCAAAAGAATGTGGCAGAGGTCTACATTTGGAGCAGTAACTAAGAAGGACAGAGATGTGGACCAAATCATAGCAATGTGGACTTCCGGTGGGAACATAAGGTTGTGAGCAGTGCTCCGGCACGTGTGTCCAAGTATAGCTCCACTGTGTCAGAGTGGGAGTGTCTAGCCTGACCATGTGGGGATGGTGAGGCCAGAGAAGATGAACAGGCCCAGTCACCCCAGTTTCTACCTTGCAGGGTGTGGGAGAAGGTAGTGGGGGCAGGGAGTGGTCTGGGATGAAAGGGTGGGCACAGTCACAAGTCAGCAGAGTAATCTTCCAAAGCCCAAATCAGCTTACATAACCCCTCTGCTTAAGGCCCGTTGCCTTTGGGATAAAACCCCTCATGTCATAAAACAGAAGCTAATATCACAACAATTGCTTCAGTCAGGCAACTTTTTCAGGACCATTTCTTCCTCCATCTCCGGGCAGTGATCCCTGGTGGTCAGTTAGAAGGAGTGATTCTAATGCCCCTACAGGCTGCTCAAACAATACACAGCTTCTTCCTCACCGGAATACAGCAGTGAACCCTGACTTACAAGAAAAAATGTCCAAAAACTGCTTTTTTTCATTAGGTGTGCAGTGGTCTAAGTTGGAGGAAGTCATTGGAAGAACCATGCCTGCTGGCTTCTCCTCATGTCACCTCAGGTTCCTGTCTCTTCCACCACAAATGTATCCCCTGTGTTGGACTGTTGCTTCAGCAACCATTTGCAAATGTTCCCAGTGGAGCATCTCCAGCCACAAATAGCAGAGAAGTCCAAAACCTAGCACAACTCTGACAACCAGTCTCATTTTACCCATGGAAAATTCCAGTAGCACTGTAGGGTCTCTGGTATGCCCTAAAGCATGCCAGCCTTTGGACAAGATGTGGACAACTTCCCACCTGCTTCCACTTGTTTGCTCAGTGTCAGGGATGAGTCTGCAGTGAACCAGCCTCCCTGTCACACACGGTGCCTCGGCAATCCCGGGTCTAGCTTACAGCTGCAGACTCGGAGGGCCAGGCACCCCTTCCAGCCACGGCAGAGTCCTCGGCCTTGTTTTATCCACTGAATGGACTATTCCAAGTGGAATTTAATACACATCGGGCAGCCCCCATAAGGAACATTCTTGGCTATATACACAATTAAGTTCGTTTTAAAATTACAAAGTAATCATGCATACAAAAGAGTGCATGAAATGTGCAATTTAAGTACTTTTAATAAATGAACAAAGATGAAAAATCAATAGAATAATAAGCAGATATACAGATTAGCTAGCTCGTCAGTATTCACAATTGCTGATGGGAAGAGCCTTTGAAAGGTGGCTGAGTGAGCTGAGACGGCTGTGTGTGGCTCAAGAGGCAACACATCCACGAGTCCAGTGAAACATTACCAGCATCTTAGAAGAGTTTGAGATTTATTATTCATTTCTTTGTTTTGGTTTATAATTTTACCACTTACATATCAATTCCTAAGGAAATATATATATATATATATATATATATACACATCTTTATATATATACTACATATATAATTTAGTTGTCTACTTTTGAAATTCATGCAAATGGGATCATACAACATATACTGTTCTATGACTTATTTAGCTCAACATTTCTGAGATATATTCATGTAGATGTAACTGTAACCCATTGATTTTCATTGCAGTATAGTATCTCCTTACATGAACATCTTGCAATTCATCTAATTTTGTTTTAATGGATATCTGAGTTGTTTCTAATTATTCACTATTAGGAGCAACACTGCTTTGAACACCGTTGTAAATCTCCTGGTACACTCAGGCAAGTGCACGTGCTCTCTCGCACACTCCTCCTCACCTTGCTCCAGGTGCATTTGTTTTGGTTTTAGGAATGCTTTTTCCATGGGAGACAGACAGCCTACTCATGGCAGAGAATCCGGGAACGAGGTTCCCTCTTGGCAACTCCTATGGCTGTTTGAGGCTCAAGCCAAAAGAGTAGAGACTGGGGACAAGTTAGGGACTGGTCCCCTAATGGCTGGGGTCAAGCAATGCGACAGACAGAAGGGGATCCCTGTCCCTTGGAAACTCACTCACCCTGCACAGTGCCCCAAGGATACTGCCGGGCCTTCATCATCTTGTTGCCTATCTTCAGTTCTTCTGTGCTGCCAATGACAGCAAAAGGCAGGTGGGCCTGAAACAGAAGGCAAATGAAAGCTGAGAACTCAAGGAGAAAGGCACAGCTCCTACAATGCCACTGCTGCTCATCTCCTGGGCCTCAGACCGTCAACACTATAGTGTCCCTCACTGTTCTCAATGTCAAGAGGCATTTCTTAAGCTCCCAAGCTGTCTGGGGATAAGAGGTCTAGTCCAGGCTTCTGCTGTTCAGAGATTCACAACAAAAGGTAACAATGACATAGTTGAATACATAGGGAACAAAGACAGAAAATCAATAGAATAATAAGCAGATACACAGATTAGCTGCCTCTTCAGTATTCACAGCCTTTGAAAGGTGGCTGAGTAAGATGAGAGGGGCTACTCGTGGCTCAAGAGGCTAAAGGAGAACAAGAGTACTGGGGTGCTGGCCCTCCCCCTTCCCCAGAGTGTGAGCCCTGAGAATAGGTATATACTGAAGTTGCACTGCTGACTGAGCTGTGTGCTCCTTGTTCCCTTCCTTCCCTGGAGCAAGAGCTCACACTGAACTCTTGAGCCTAGAAGTCAAGTCCATAAGTATTCATCCACATGCCCATGACCATGCTGGGTTCTGTTTTAGGTGCTGTAAGGGAGACAAAAGAAGTAGAAGACAGGACTTCCGGCCAAGATGGAGGCGTAGGTGGAAACACTGTACCTCCTCGCACAACCAAGTTTAAAGACAACAAAGTTTTAGTAACAAAAACGCAACCAGAACACAGAATATTGAACTGTACGGAAGTCCGACAACAACGAACCGTTCATCCAGACTGGTAAGAGGGGCGGAGTCAGCGGCTGGCAGAGAGGGGCACAGGGAAAAGCGGACGGGCCGACAGGCATGCAGGCGGCAGTTGGCTGATCCCAGGTGCAGGGTGGCAACGGGCAGACCCAGTGAGGGCGCAAGGCGGCTGGCAGACCACAGTCACACATTCACGCTCAGATAAACCAGGCAAAAAAATGAGCAGTGAGACAAACCGTGTGAACCAGGGCCCCAGCGGTGGGAATTAAAGCCTAAAAGCACCAATTGAAAAACTTTTGGGGGTCGAGGTGCCAGGAAAGGCTCCCAGGCTCCCACAGGGTCCTGGAGAATGCACAGGCCCGCATACCCAGGAGCCAGCACCAGGGGGGGCCAGGTTTGCTTGCCGGAAGCAGCAGAGGGGACTGAAATCCAAGAGAGAGCGTGGAACTAGCGCCATTGCCCCTCTCTGACCCCGCCCCCACATACAGCATCACAACCCAGCAACTGGGTCGCCCCGCCCCTCATACCTAACAGGTGCGAACAGACCAAGACATTGTGGCTCAAGAGGAACAGCTCAAAGCCCCAGAGCCAATACTTCTGAGTGACCAGTAGATAGCCAACCTATCAGATGCACAGTTCAAAACACTGGTGATCAGGATGCTCACAAAACTGGTTGATTTTAGTCACAAATTAGAGGAACAAATGAAGGCTACACTAAGTGAAATGAAGGGAAATGCACAGGAAACCAATAGTGATGGGAAGGAAACTGGGACTTAAATCAATGGAGTGGACCAGAAGGAAGAAAAAAAATGACCAAACAGAAAACAATGAAAAAAACAAGAATTCCAAAAAATGAGGAGAGGCTTAGGCACCTCCAGGACATCTTTAAACGTTCCAACATCCGAATTATAGGGGTACCAGAAGGGGAAGAGGAAGAGCAACAAGTGGAAAAGTTATTTGAACAAATAATAAAGGAGAACTTCCCCAATCTGGCAAAGGAAATAGACTTCCAGAAAGTCCGGGAAGCTCAGAGAGTCTCAAAGAAGTTGGACCCAAGGAGGAACACACCAAGGCACATCATCATTACATTACCCAAGATTATTAAAGATAAGGAGAGAATCTTAAAAGCAGCAAGAGAAAAAAAATTACCTGCAAAGGAATTCCCATCAGACTATCAGCTGATTTTTAAAAGAGACCTTACAGGCAAGAAGGGGCTGGAAAGAAGTATTCCAAGTCATGAAATCCAAAGACCTACATCCAAGATTGCTCTCTCCAGCAAAGCTTTCATTTAGAATGGAAGGGCAGATAAAGTGCTTCTCAGATAAGGTCAAATTCAAGGAGTTCATCATCACCAAGCCCTTATTATATGAAATGTTAAAGGGACTTATCTAAGAAAAAGAAGATAAAAAAGATGAACAGTGAAAGGACAGCAAACTCACAGTTATTAAGAACCACACCTAAAACAAAAGCAAACTAAGAGGACAGGTAGATCAGGAATGGAACCATAGAAATGGAGATCACATGGAGGGTTAGCAACAGGGGAGTGGGAGGAGGAGAAGGGGGGAGAAGGTACAGAGAATAAGCAGCATAGATGGTAGGTAGAAAATAGGGGGGAGGGCAAGAATAGTAGGGGAAATATAGAATCTAAAGAACTTGTGACACATGGACATAAAGTAAAGGGGGGAATGGTGGGGGAAAGGGTGTACAGGGTGGAGGGGAATGAGGGGGGGAAGTGGGACAACTATAATGGCATAATCAATAAAATATATTTTAAAAAAGAAGTAGAAGACATACTCCCTCACCCTCTGGGAGCTTACAATTCTGCTGGGGATGCTAGATTTACATATTCCAAAATATATAAGACAGAACATGCCCAAAGGCTCAAATGCATGCTCTGGTGCCCTCCACACAGTAGGAGCTTCATAAAATACTCCTTAAATGTCAGTGGCAAGGCCATGAAAATAGTAGAGAAGAAAGACCAAGTATAAACAGGGGTCTGAGCTGGGTACTTGCAGAACCTGATGAGGAGGGAGGCCTGGCTAATGAAGGCTTCCTGGGTTTGAGAAGAGGCAGCTGCCCCCAGTTGGCAGTGTGGGGCCTGGGAAAGCAGCCCTTCTGCAGGGAGCAGCCCAGATTATAAGTGCTGAGTGACCACTGGCCAAATGGAACCACTGAATAACTACTGGTTACAACCCAGGTGATTCTGGGCAGGGCTTTACCTAAAAGGACTTTGCGAGGACAAGTAAAAAGTCCACTGGAACTTTCTTAGCCTGGTTGGAGAAACAGGCCTCGGTTTGTAGGCTCATTTTTCCATTCTATAAATATTTACTGAGCTCCTGCTATGTGCTAGGCATTAAAAAAAATACAATATTGAAAAAGTTCAGAGCCTGCGCATGGAGAGTGCACAGTCTGGTAGGGGACAGACATGCCAACAATAATACTAGACTAAGGTCCAGATTTTAAACAGAGGCTCGAAGGCTGGAGGAACATGGAGGAGGGAGCAGCTAACTTCATGGGAAGTCAAAGCAGGTTGCACAGAGTAGGCAGTAGCAATTATACTAATAGTATTGTAGCTAAAGAACTGATATTAGCAGCAGCAATTCTCTCAACCACAGGTACTCCATACCAGGTGCTCTACATTACATTACTGCATTGAACCTTTACAACAATGCTTGAAGTAGATGTTTTTATTATCCCATTTTATAGAAGAAGAAACTGAGGTCCCGAAGGGCTAAGTGGACTTGCCAACAAGCACACAGGAGTAAGGGGCAGAGCAAGGGGTGGTCTCTCTGACTTGAAGGGCCTGCAGGTCTGCCACACCCATTTAGAAATTAGAGCAGCAGAGGAGGCGAGCGCTCCAAACCCTAGGGTAAACTGGTTGTGCAAGGTCAGATTATAAATGGCAGTTCAATTCTAGGAAACTTGAAGCAAATGTTTTTTGTTTATTTTATCTGTGCACTGACCTCACAGCCAATCCTTCCTTTCTATTCTCTTCTAGCTCTGCACGCCAAGAATGTTTATAGGAGTGGAAAACACAGGACTTAACCAGGAGCTCAGCTCCAGGACATCCGCTCATCCCCCAAGGTACTTGGTCATCCAAGTGAAGCGGCCCTCCCTCATCCTCTCAGCTTCTCTGAGCGTCGTCAGTTCATCCCTTCCTACTCCACTGACCTTCCCTGAAACAGGGACGTAAGAAATAGGGAAAGAGGAGGCCATGGATACAGAAAGTGGGCAAAGGGTGAAGGTGGGAAATGTTTCATCAGCCCTGCTAGGGCAATGAATCATCAAGAGGGCCATTGTGCATGTGACGCAATGGGGTACCAGGGGTGTACTGAAATCTTGAAAACCCTGCCCAAGAGCCAGTGATCTCTGACTTCTGCCAGCAGTCTTGGCCAGGGGGTCATCTGGGCACAATTCGTTCCCACTCAGGGACCCAAGACATGCCGGGATCCTCAAAAGCACCCTGAAACCTTTTCCGGGAAAATATGTCTTTCCTACAGAAACTCCAAAGCTTTGGCCACATGACACGAGGGGCATCGGTGGCAGACGGCTAGACCAAGGGGGGAGGTGAGAAAGAGAAACCACATTGTATCGCCCTCACACACTGTGGGGCTGAAAGTGATGGAGGAGGCGGCTATGTGGAGTGGAAGGTATTTCTCTGGGCTCAAGAGAACAGGAGGGGGAAAAACAAAAAGAGAATAAAGGAACGAAAAATGTCAATATTCTCTTGGGCCTGTTACTGTCCCCAAGAGACATTGTTAGAATGACAGGGTCGCTTGCTTCCCCTCTTCCTTAAACTGCTGTCATATTGCCCCTCCCCATTCTAAAAAGGTACAGCTCCCACCCAGGCAACCTCAGAGAGCTATAGAGACCTCCCACGGCACACTCTTTTACACCTGGCATCGAGTTCTATTCTATTCAAGTCTGTGCAAGGATATCATTTCCCAGTGCTCCCAGGCAGATATCATTTGATTCTCACAACAGCCTTACAGGGCAGTTATGATAAACCCCATTTGTGATTTTGGGGGATTGGCACACAGAAAGGTTAAATGAGAGTTAGGTCCTTAACTCTCATGCCCAAATCTTCCCAGGAAGTAGTGAGGACACCACATTTTATTTTTTTTAATGTATTTTTAAAAATATTTAATTAATTTATTTTTAGGCAGAGGGGAAGGGAAGGAGAAAGAGAAATATCAATGCGTAGTTACCTCTCCTGTGCCCCCTACAAGGGGCCCAACCTAGTCCGGAACCCAGGCATGTGACCTGATTGGGAATTGAACCGGCAACTCTTTGGTTTGCAGGCCGGTGCTCCATCCACTGAGCCACACCAGCCAGAGCAGGACACCACACTTTAGATGCCAGCCTCCCCTAGTCACTCAGGGTGGCCTGTGTTCTGCCTCCCTGCTAAACGCATTTGTTGGAAGTCAGCTAACTGTGAATGGCAGGAAGTCATAGGGCCAGGCTCCGGCCCTCATTCTGCTGCTCTTGAAAGACTGATGGCTATGACAACCAAAATAGAATCAAGAAGAGCAGAGAGAAGGTACCCCCAATCATACTCCCAGGGGTGACACTTGGTGTATGTGGAGCCAGGGCAGAGACTCTGACGGAGGCAAGACAGTGCTGCTGCTGAAACAGTGACAGGCTCCTATGGGGAGTCCGTGGAACTCTCTCACCCAGAAGACTGCTGGTGAGATGCCTCAGTCTCAGAAAACTTCAACAAGATCCCTGGCTGGTGTGGCTCACTGGATTGAGCACCTGCCTGAGAACCAAAAGGTTTCCTGTTTGATTTCTGGTCAGGGCATAGGCCTGGGTTGCAGGCAGGTCCCCAGTTGGGGGCGTATGAGAGGCAACTGAGCGATGTTTCTCTCACACATCAATGTTTCTCTCCATCTCTGTCTCCCTCCCTTCCCCATCTTTGAAAACAAATTAAAATCTTAAAAAAAAAACCTTCAACAAGAGATGGCCTCAAGCTTTATCTTATAAATCTAGTCCCAGATTCACTACCTTTCCTGCCTCGTGTCTACCTAAAATTCTTCTTGGCACATTTAAAAATGTTTGATGATCCAATTGGCATGAATTATTCTATTCTGTTTCCACTACATCCATTATACTTTGGGAGGGCACATGATCATTCCCCTCATCCCAATGAAATAATGACTCTCAGGGCCCTTTTCTCCTTGTCTGACAATATTCCCATTGGGTGTGGCTTCCTCCCAGGATGGACAGGATTTCCAGTCATGCTGCTGGTTATCCTCGCCCCCATTTCAAGCCCCTACTGGCAACTGAACGAGAGCATGCCTGATTCTCTCTCAAGTCGACCCTTAGTGATTCCCACAAAGGTGTGTACAAACAACAGAAATGGCACTGCCACCTTAAGAGAAGGGGCAGGCTTATGCCTGTGGGTCTCCCCGTGACCCTACAGGTCACCCATGTGACCAAATACCTTTATGAGGGTCAAACCCAAGACCTCACAGGTGACCAGTCAAGTGAACCAAGTAGAGTAATTGAGCTAGTTGCCTAGTCCCTGGCCATGGTTTGAGCTACTCAAAGGACAACATTTGATTTGAACAGCACAGCAATTTTTAATATTAAAGTCTACAAACTTGAGAGTTATTAGAGCATGGGTTGAAAGTAGAATGCCACAAGATCTTTCACAACATTGTCTTGCCCCCGCAGTCTGAAATCAGCATTTTCAGAGCCACCCACAAGTCAAGGGGGAGGCTGAGACTTCATTGCTTTCATTTCCTGCCATGGAAATCCTTAGTGATGAGCAGCAAGATGGCCGTACGGTCTTCTTCACTTAGGCAAGAGGCTTCTACTACTTCTTCCAATCCAGTTCTCATGGTAATTGGCTAGGGTGGCTGAGGCTGGGGGGCTGGAGTAAAATCCAGAACTGAAAAGCCGGCACCCATTCCTCCTACCACCCAACCCCAGGTCCCTGACGATGCAGTTCTGTGTGCCACAGCTGATCCGAAGACCCTGGGGACTTTCCACACAGTTTAATGGTGGTAAGCAGGCTGAGCAATCCTCTGTATATATTTTTAGCAGCACCCCATCCTGTTGCCCATCACAACACATAACACATAGCATTCCCATGCATGCCTCCTTCCCACAACCATGCCCAATCCCAGGGACACTAGCTGGAGGCCAGCGCTGTCCTTCCCACTCAGAAAAGCAGGGTGAAATGCCAGGGAATGCATGATCAGTGATGTTTTTCTAGAAATAACCCTAAATTCACTCAACTTTCAGTTACAAAATAGTAATGAGTCATAAGGATGTAATATACAGCATAAGAAAAATAATCAATATTATCATAATAACTTTGTATAGTGACAGATGGTCACTAGCTTTATGGAGGTGATCACAGTACGAGGAATATAAATGTTGAATCATTATGTATGTTATACACCTAATATAAAATAGTATGTCAACTTTCATTTTTAAAAAGGGAAAATATTTCATTTTTCAAAGTGAAATACTAGCAAACTTTGGACTACTGACCCCAACATCCTGACTTCTTCAGAGAATAAGCACCAATCTTTTTTTTTTTTTTTTTTTTGCTTCTGCTCACGGCCGGTCAGAGGTATAATTCTACCTACCACAGGCCACACAGCCTTCCTCTGGGGCCAGACTTGTCAAAGATGGGGAAGGATTTCTAACAACATGTCTCCAGTGTACTACTGATAAGTAGAAAGTCAGGCGAGACAATGACTTGCTGCCCTGCTATGCAAATTTGTTGGCCAATTCATAAGAGGTGGCTGCTGACGCTGGAATGATAACTTGCTGGGCGGCAGCAGCAGGAAGTTTCTAAAAATGGCTTTTATTACCCGGCTTTCCTGAGTTGGGCTATACCCAGGCATTATGTCATTAGGAAAAACTGATGCCTCTCAGTAGAAAAAAAAGAAATCTGTTCCCAAAGCAGAGGCTTTCTGAAAGCTATTAGCTGTCTCCTTGAAATCATAACATTGAAGATTTCACAGCAACAGCATCAACACATTGTAAAGAAGCATGAGGAGATGTTTGACTCTCTGCCTTCTTCATTACTCATTCCTGTAGTGGGGGAGGAGTGAGGGAGGAGAGGCAAGATGGCAAGTTGCTTTTTCAAAAAGTCATTCACACTTAATAAACCAAAGCACAACCCTGAAACATAAAAAACAACATTTCTCTAATCACTAGAAAAATTGGAGGCCATATATCATTTTTCCTCCCAGGGGCAGAAAGCTTGATTATCTGAGTACAGATTATCCTGGAGTCTCCAAAGCCAGCCAACTTGTTTTAGCCTTGCCTTTATTCACTGAAATCAATTGTCATAGCACTTTGTTTCTGTTACAAAGAATGTTTGCCCTTCCAGCAGTCCCCTGGGGGGCTGGCTGCCTGGCCTAGACCAGAGCAGCATCAAAGAGGAGGGTGGAAGGAGAGGTCTGAATCCCCTGCTCCAGACTCTTCCTGGAGTCAGTCTTTCCCTCCTTCAACCTCTGCTCTGCTTTGAAGCAGCCACCCTGAGGATAGGGGAGCTGTTTCATTCTGCATTCTCTCTAACAAATACCTGAGACTCAGATAACCAAGAACTGACTACAGTAAAATGGATGGTGAAGATGTCTGACAGCTATTTGGTGAAATAAAGAACAAATGGTCAGCACATTGAACCCCTGTGCTCCCACTCACGTTCATGGTTCCATTGATCTCTGCCACCGACTCGTCATCTGTAGGAAACTGGTAGATCTGGACCCCGTTGCTGACAAGCTCACTGGTTATTTTGATTTTGAACTTTGTTAGTTCACTCTTGGAAATGGCATCCGACTTGGCGATGATGGGGATTATGTTCACCTATGGGAGAAAGGAGCCATGTGGGAACGATGCAGATAATCTGCAACTGATGGCAGCAGGGTTTAGGATTTCCAACTGGCTGCCAGAGGGCATAGCTCAACACAGTGGTCTAGGACTGGTCACCTCTGGAACCAGACAATATAATCAATCACAATGAGTGCTTCTGAGGAAGTAAGTGCTTTACAGAGATTAACACAATCCTGATAATAACCCTCTCAGGAAGTAGCATTACCACTATTTTACCAATGAGAAACTGAGGCACAGAGACGTTAAATAACTTGTGCAAGCCCACAGAGCAGGTAAGTAGCAGGCCAAGTTTAGCCTTGTTCCTCAGTCTACAGTCTTAACCATGAGCTGTCTACCAGCTCAGATCCCAATCGATGAGTTGCGTGATATTTTCACATCAAGGTCACTGCTCCAGTGATTTGAATTGGAAGATGGCAGTTGCAAATCTGTGGTTGACAAGGGGAAAGATAGGCACTCCTTGCTAACAATAAACTGTCCCAACCCATCCAGTGCATGCTGGCCCCAGCCAGTGGAACGGAGACCCACATGGGAGATGGCAGAAAGTGGGAGCAGCAGAGAGCTCAGTGACAATGCACACATTGGCAGTGAACACTGATGAACCAATGCAGTTAAGTGAAGAAGACCTTCTCAGTTACCAATTTGATCTGAGACATATTCAAAGACTTATGTTGCCTGAATCTCGAGGTTAATTTCTGTATAAAGAAAGCAAGCATAAATGCCCAACTTCAAGCAGCAGGACAAAGGCTTACTGCTGCCCCCAAATTCAAGCCACCTGAACCCCTGACCTGATCCTTGATATTCCTCCAAGAAGGGGCAAGGCTTTTACAGCCAGAAGGTTAAGAAACTTGAAATACACATGGCTTAGTGAGACAGAGTGCCCTCAAGCTCAGGTGCACACAGAGAGCACAGTCATTCCTGCCAACAGCCTCCAAAGGGATGCATGGATGGTGCTGGGACACTGAAAAGAATTTGAAAGGGGGTCTGAGACAAAGTTTGTCTTGGACGACAAACTTTGCCCCCCTTGCACTTTGCCTAAGTACCACCTGTAAAGACTGGACCTTGGAGGCACCTCCCTTGAAGTCTTTTTTTGGGAGGGTTGGGGACGAAAGCCCTTGCTGAGGGAGAACAGCAGGAAGAGCCAATTTTCCTCTTCGCTCTTCACCATGTCTCCATCCACACACTCTACACATATGGCAAAGAATGCTTACTTAACCTGCCCACTCACCAGGCCCCCAGCCATGTGGCTCTCTGCTGCCCTAGGCCATGCAGGGTGCGGCGACATTTCCAGAGCAGCTTGTCACTCATGAGTGGTGAGCTCATTGCTTCGAAAAATGAAAAATTGCTTCTATTCTGATTATAGCAGAAATTCTGTTTTTATAATGGACATGCTATTAAATAAATGCATATCAGTTAGATTTTTGTAAAAAAAACAACAACAAAAAAAAACACTTGGAGTCGGGGGAAGTTCAGTCTGAATCCCAGACCCATGACAAGTTGTCTAACATTGAGCAAGATTTTTGACTTTCTGTGCCTCTGTTTCCTCACACACAAAATGAGAATAATAATAGTATCCACCACCCTGAATAACTCGAAAGCTGAAATAATTAGCTTTTCTAGAGAATTCTGTGGTCAATTCTTTTGTACAGCAAATAATCTCTTTTTTAAAGATATTTATTTATTTATTTATTTATTTATTTATTTATTTTTACAGAGAGGAGAACGAAGGGAGAAAGGGAGGAAGAGAAACATCACTGCGTGGGTGCCTCTCGTGCACTCCCCCACCAGGGAGGGACCCAGCCTGCAACCCAGGCATGCACCCTGACCGGGAACTGAACCGGTGACCCCCTGGTTCACAGACACACACTCAATCCACTGAGCCACACTAGCCGGGGCCAGCAAATAATCTTTTAACATGAAGAATCACTGTCTAATTTATATCTGAACTGGTATCTGCAGGTTTCATTTTCTCTTAAAGTAGGACATGCCTGATTCCCACAGCCTTCTTTCTCCAGAAGGGAGACAAAAGAACTTGGTGCCACAGATCTGAATTTGAATCTAGACTCTGCCAATAGCCAGCTACATGACAATGAGAAAGTCACTTAACCTCTCAGAGCCTCAGTTTTCTCCCCTGTAAAATGGGGGATAAGAACAGTGTTTGACTCATAGGGTTGTTATGAGTATTCAATGAGATGCTCCATGACGTACTTAGCACAATGGTGGCGCACAAGAGTTTAACAAATGTTAGCTGCAATTATAAAAATAAGTATTGATAATAAGAATAATAACTTTCAAAGCCTAGTCTGAATGTTTGATTTTAGTACAGGCCAGTTAACATGGAAACAAAATTAAAAAAACACCTTGCCAAAGCCTGAGCCCCTAGATTGGAACATCCTTGCACGTACCCTTACGCCCAAGAGGGATCAGGGCAGAAAGACAACTCGGGGCAAACCTGTGCCCCATGCTGGGAAAACAAAATATTTGGCAAAGAATCTGGATCAATAGCACCATCTTTATGGAGTAAGAGGGAACAAAAGAGAGGATGAAGAAACCTTAAGACCTCTTCTGGAACCTGGCCTCTACTTTGTACAAGAGACCAGTAAGAATGACCCAGCTTACCCAGCTGCCCCTGCTTCCATACCTTACTATCCAGCTTCTTCATTGTTACTAGGTCCAGAGACTTCAGAGAATGACCTGTAGGGGCGATGAAGTACAAGCAGGCATGGATGCGAGAGTCATGGTAGGTGTGCAGTACCCTGCGGATCTTCAGTTCCTCCTGCAGGTAGGCTTCAAACTGGGCATCGATAAATTCCACGATGGGCTTGTAGCTAAAGGGGAGAGTAAGAAAATGGCCCGGACATTTCAAAATGGTCACCTCCTTGGTCCCCACATGAGCCAACTTATGCCCATCTGCGTGCCTTCATTCTGGAATGCCCATTTCTCTCTTCTCATCCCAATCCTGTCCTTTTAGACCTCAGGGCCCAGTTGAATGTCCACCTCATCCATACAGCCTTTGCCAATTATGCCAGAAATTCCTTCTGTGCTGGGTACTCAGCGGAGGTCAGGACCTTGCTGCTAGGGAAGGCTGTAAGAACGCACTGGGTTCTGCTCAGCCTTGCAAGGTTTGGTAGCATTTCCCACTTGGCTCTCCTAAGGTCCAGACATTGTTCCAGTTCTCATTTCCTCCAAGATTGTGACTTTAAAATCTAAGTGACTCAGGCAAATTTGAGAAAGATATTACCCTCACCACAGCCTTCAGATATACACACATACCCAAGCTCACAGTCTGCACGCACAGCCACCCTTTGCAGACCTCAGGTCTTACCAGGACTTCTTTTTCTTTTTTAACTTTTAAAAAAGGATTCTACTTCTTTATTTCTAGAGAGAGGGGAAGGGAGCGAACTGGCGACCCCTGGTTCTGCAGTAAGATGCCCAATCAACTGAGCCACACCAGTCAGGGATTTACTGGAACTTCTTAAACAATAGTCACTCCTCAACTCCTTCCTGTCCTGGGAAGCTTCTCAACACCACTCCCCACCATTCCAGCGGCCCCTGCAGCCTCGCTTCTTTCTGATCTTCCGGAGTCAGCTTCACTACAGCCCTGCCTCTGTTCTCATCTCCCCATCATCTGCTGCCTCTCCTTCTGGGGCTTCCTCCCTTCAGGCTAGAAGAGCCTGGGGCAGCGAGTTGGCAGATACCACTGCCTGAAGAGAACATGATCAAAGGAGGCCCAGACGGTGCCTCCTACCTGCAGCAGCCCCCAACCTGAGCCCTTTTGAAAGATTCCCCTTTTAGAGAAGGTAAAAATAGATTTAAAAAAATAATCACAGAGTCCTAGATTCTGGGAGCCATATACAGAGGAGAGATCCAGGCAGAGGGTACCTCTGCAGCCCTAGACAAAAATCTACAAACACAGTCCTTTCTTCCTTCGATCCCTCTGAACCATTGCTCTGAAGGGGAATCACATCTAAGAATCTCTTGGTTGCAGAGATACTCAGAAGGATCCTGAAGAATTAGGAGTGAGGGTAGGTAGGGGATGCATCCCTTAGACATGTCTAATTAATTTTTGGATGATTGGCTGGTTTGAATGATCTAATCATGGCACTGCTTCGTTTTTTTCTCCACTACATAACTTTTATACTTCAGTTTTTTTCTCTACAAAAGGGATCAAAAGAGGAAAGAAAAATGTGTATTTTTTTTCTTTTTTCCCCCTGAATATCTAGTGATAGATACTCTGGGCCTATCTGTTTACTGCTGACCCTAGTTCTTAGGGTCTGTGAAGAAGTGTATGAATCAGACCAGCCAAACTAACCAATACCAACAAAATTTGGTTCCGTTTAATCCTAAATAGGTGATTCATTTTCGTGTCCTCAGTGTCCAGCATGTAATCAGGAATGTAGTAAGGGTTTCACTTCCATTCCCAATGGCTCCTCCTCCCGTAATGGTCCTCTCTCCCTCCCCACTCTGCTGTGCTCACTGGATCCCAGTCCCTGGTAAGTTCTGTACTTCCATAGGCAACCTCTTCACCAAATCTTCCTTCCTCTAAGTGATACCCATCTCCTCTTCAAAGAAGTTGCTCCTCTCATATTCTTCTCAACTGGAAATTACTACTAATTTCACACCCAAGTTCCATGGGTGTGAGGGCTAGAGAGGGAACTTTCTCCTAGCTAGTTATTCCCTGGCTTACCATAATCTTTTCCAGCTCCGACATACTCTACCCCTCCTCATCACTACTGTTTATCTTTCACTTTTTAGGGTAGGAGTATCCTTTTTCTAAAGGATACTTATTTTTAGAGAGAGAAGAAGGGAGGGAGAAAAAAAGAGAGAGGAACATCAATGTGTGACATACATCCACTGGTTGCCTCTTGCACGCCCCAAACTGGGGACATGGTCTGCAGCCCAGGCATGTGCCCTGACCCGGGGAGTCAAGCCAGCAACCTTTCAGTGTGCGGGATGATACCCAACCCACTGAGCTACACCAGTGAGGGCAAGGGTAGGAGCTCTTAAACTGCAGTCCACAGACCCCTCTAAGGTCTGTCGATAGAATTCATAGCACCCATGAGTTGGGACAAAAATACATGTTTTTCACTAAGCTGTAACTAAAGTTTAGTATTTTCTTCAAGTATAAACATAGGTAACAATCTAGAGTAATTTTAGCAGTACGCAAGACTTTATAACCTACAGAAATCATGGCTATTTTTGTTTTATTTTACAGTTTAACAAATATCTCAAAATAGCATTTATACTCATCAAACTTCTAAATTATGACAGTTATTAGACCTGCCTACAAGTATGGTTATGTCAGGAATTATTAGAGACATGTAAGAATTGCTAAATCACAATTTTAAGATATTTCAGTATTAACTATATTTAGTAAAATGGTGTATTTTAGGCATTTAAAAACCATATGATTTCACTCATGTGAAATCTAATGAAGAGACAACTTACAAGGAAAATGGGGACAGACTCATAGATGGAGAGCAGGAGGACAGCTGCGGGGGTAAGGAAGTAGAAGGATTAAGTAAACAGGAAAAAGGACTCATGGACATGGACAAGAGTGTGGTGATTGCAGAAGGGTGTGCAAGGGGACTAAATGGTGATGGAAGCAATACAATAAATATTAAATCAAAAATAAATAAAAACCTTCTTCTGAATGAGCTCATAGGTCTCACTAGATTGCTATAGGGTCCAAAGGCACAAAACAGCATCTGCTCTAGACCCTACTTCTTATCCGTTTCAATTAGTGAGACATACTATGAAGAAAATAAAATGGGATGATGGGATAACATATGACTCAGGGTTCAGCTACTTCAAATATAGTGATTGTGGAAAGCTTCTCTGAGGATGTGACATTTGAGCTGCAAAAATGAGAATGAGAGAACCATGGAGGATCTGGGAGAAGAGTATTTCCGGCAGAAGAATAGCAAATGTAATGGTTCTCAGGCAAGTTGGAACAATAGGAAGAGTGCAAGGGAGAGGAAGAATAATAAACTATTCACATTAGCCAAAAAGTGAAAACAACCCAATGTCCATCAGCTGATGACTGGAAAAAGAAAATGTGGAATATCTATACAATGGACTATTACTCAGTCATTTAAAAGAAGGAAGTTCTGATACATGTTGCCACATGAACGAAGCTTGAAAATACCATAAGTCAAAGAAGCCAGTCACAAAAGGACAAGTATTGTATGATTCCATTTATCTGAGGTCCAAGAATATATAAATTCACAGGGACAAAAAACAGAATAGTGGTTACCAGTGGCTGAGGGGAAGGGAAAGTAGGGAGTTGTTAATGGATTTCTTTTTGGGGTGATGAGAATATTTTGAAATTAGATAGAGGTTGGTGGTTGTACAATCTTGTGAATGTATCAGATGCTACTTAATTGTTCACTTTAAAATAGTTAATTTTATGCCATGTGAATTTCACCTCAATAAAAACAAGAATAGTAAGTGATGAAGCAAGTAAGCAGCATGGGACAGATCACATAAGGTCTTGTGGGTAGAGGGGTTATTTTTTGCTGTCAATGGGATCTTCTGCATAATGTTTCTAATTGGTTATTGTTAGTTGATAAAAAGTCTATGCCTTTTTGCATGTTTATTTTGAAATTGGCTTCCTTACTGAACAATTGTTCATAGAATTGTTTTTCAGTTGATTAGCTTCGGTTTACTAAACAGACACATTATAGAAAAACAGTAATTTTATCTCTCAGTGAACACTTCAATTGTTATCTTTTTAAATTTTTTTCTCAGTTTTAAAAAATTCTCCATCATCACTTATCCACCTATACCCTCTTCCACCTCCACCCAACCCCTCCTTGCCTCCACAATTACCACATTATTGTCCATGTCCATGAGTTTCATTTTTAGGGATAATGTTGACCAGTCCCTTCTTGAAACACTGTCCTCTGTCTTTACTGCCACCACTATATCCTACCTCTATAGCTCTCACTCGCCCTACATCAACTCGTGGCTTGTTTCTGAGGTTCCATCCCGGACCACCTTCTGTTGTCCTACACATTCCATGCATATTATCCCTGGGCGGTCTCACTTACTCCCATGGCCTCATGTATTACCACCCTCCTATCATACTTCCTGGACACCTGGAGGTCATCCCACTCCCCTTCCTCCTCCGTGTGCCAGTCCATGTGCCAACACAGCCATCAGAGGCTCCCTGCAGGAAACCTACAAGACCAGATCACAGACCCTGTATTTGAACACCACTATCCCAGACACCAAAGCCAAGATGCCACAAGGTCAGGCCTACTGGAATAAAAGTGACAACAGCTAATTCGCTCTGTCACCATGCTGCTAGTCACCTCTTCTTCCTTCTACACACATCCTTATTCTGCTCTGTCCATCATGGACTTCTGCTGCAGCTCTCATGCTTCAAAAACATTTCCACTGTACCCTCTGAAACCCCTGTACCATGATAAACAAAGTTGCCTCCATCTTTGCCACTCAAGAGGTCAAGAGTGTGGTCTTGGACCAGCAGCACTAGTATCACACGAGAGCTCATTAGAAATGCAAAATCCCCTGTTTCCAACCCAGACCTACAGGATCAGAATCTGCATTTGATTAAGAGCCTCCAAGGCTTGGATGCAACATTAAAGCTTGAGAAGTGCTGGCCTGTACCATCCTCCTTTTTACAGAACTTGCCTACCTCCTTTTCTTAATGGTAACTTCATTTTTCCTTGGGGATACCACAACCCTGAAGACACCAATACCTGGAATACAGTGCAGGCATCTCATTTTCCCACAGCCGGTGTACCCTGGGGTCAGTGGGGTGGGCACTCAACATAGACTCTCAGAGGCACTTTTAGACTGTTAC